TTACTTGACTAGGATATAGATGTAGCTCCTGACCTTTTTCAGACATCATAAGGCAGAGTTAAAGAAAACTGTTAAAAGAAATATAACAGTATGGTTAGCTCATGAATTAGGGGTAACTTGCTTTCACAACAATGAACTAATATTAGGGATTAATAATACTTTTTATTCGCGAGAAAAACAAAGACAGCAACATTATTGATTGCCGGAGTGCACATTGAAACAAAAAGGAGACGCTACCAAATACTACTAGCAGATCTGCAGGCGTTGGCAGGTGAGTAGAAAATGGCGGCAATTGAATCCCCATTGCTTCCTGGCTGGCTAGCAGTGGAAAATGCAGGTGCAAGGATCTAACCACTTTGTGCAGCATTTACGCGTGCTTCTTTAATTTAATTGAAACCATCCTTTAGCTATTGCATATTGTCAATTTTTGCTGACCAACTCACTCACAATACCTGATCATTTTGAGGGGGAAAAAAATCACCAAACAAGATGAAAATAAAAAATACTTTTTTTTAATTATGTGAGACACAAACATGTATATACTTATACAAATGCAAGTATGCCTTCTTTAACAAACTCTGAAGACATAAGATGTATCGAGAGGTACCATAATACCTGATAGTACTTGTTAATGATCGTAAATATCACTTATATCTAATAACTTTATAATATTGTATTATAGACCTCCATTCCTAAATCATTGTCGTTTTAGGTTATTCAGCAGGAAAGATTAAGGTTAAGAAAGAAATGATAATATCCTCTATTAAAAGATATATGGTTAGGAGTGAGTGGGTAGTTGGGGATAAAATAGAGAAAATTAATTTTAAATTGATGTGACAAGAAGTAATCCAAAGTGACAATTTTTTAGATAAATTTTAAATCCTAAAATGACAGCTATTATTTTTAGAAATACGTACACTACAAACGCATATGCTCACAATGCACGCGGACTCACCCCTATGAACGAACACATGCACACCTTATCCGTATGAGCACCTCCGGCAGATTGGTCTGAAATATCTTGATATTGACGAAGTAATCACGAATGTCCCTCGTGATCAATGGGTATGTTGCTCACCACTGAAAGAATAGTTAGTTATAAATACGAATACTCATGTGAAGTCTATAACTTAAATCTGGATAGATTGGCTCCACCATAGGAAATCTGATCAGTTTAGCTATGCTCATTTTACAAAGTGACAACTGTTTTAGGACAGATGGAGTACTTGTTGAGGTAAATCTATTGTAATTTTGTTAAATGTGTGCGTGCACCAATATTTAAGAAATTACTGATTGCCAAAGTTTTTTTTAAAAAAATTGATTAAATCTTGTCCTAACATTGATTACTTCTTTAAGAAACATAAAAAAAAATGTTATTCAGAGATACTCCCATGGGCATATAGCTCTATTTAATTTGGCACTGCACGTTTACTCGTAAGTGGTTTGTAAGTGGAGAAATCTGCCCATGGGCATCATTAACTTTCATTTTTTTCAACACAAAATTTTTTTTTGAGGCCTCAGAAATCCGTGACGCTGTACGTGCGACGACTACACGTGGGAGGATTAAATTACGTGTCCCCCGCGCGTGCGTAAGATGGATCGATAGGTCGTGACTAATTTCAAGCTAATTACTCGCTCAGTTTTTTAATATACGACACCGTTGATTTTTTAACAAATTTTTGATTTATTTATCTTATTCAAAAAACTTATATAAATATAATAAAATGTATTCCCTCTGTCTCATAATATAAAAGAATTTGATATTTTGTTTGTACTGTTTGACCACTCGTCTTATTAAAAAAATTGTGCAAATATAAAAAATGAAAGATTGTGCTTAAAGTACTTTGGATAATAAAGTAAGTAAAAGATAATAATAATTTCAAAATTTTTTGAATAAGAGGAATAGTCAAACAGTGCAAGAAAAAAAATCAAAATCCCTTATATTAGAGGACAGAGGGAGTATGTCATACTTCAAGGACAATTGACGATAAATCAAATCCAACAAAACAAATAATGGTTATATAATCTTTTTAATAATACGAATGGTCAAACATATCTTTAAAAAGTTAACAATATCATATATTAAAAAATAGATGGAGTAATTACTTATGCTTATCGAGTTATACTTACTGTATTTAAAGACGAAATGGTTAATTTGTACATACGGTTAATCAGTTACTACCTCACATGATCAGATTGGGAGCTAACTAAGCTTACTGGATGTTTAATAGAGTCCTTAATGGCCGGAATTAATCACGGGAAGAAACAAAGAGTGTGCACGCACTAGCTAGCTGGAGTCAATCAAGTTGATCAGGTCACCAATTTTGTGACTGAGTGAGGTCAGTGACAGGGTTCTATGAGCAATATATGGGAAATTATGTAACCCTAAACCTGAAAACTACCGTGAGATAAAAAAAAGATGTTTGAGATTTATCCGCATCATATGGGTAAACCTTTTACATACAATAAATATGTTCAAATTTGTAGTATACTAGCTAGGTTTATGTTTAATATGTGTTAGGTTTTTATATTTTAAGATGGATAAAGTATGTCGATGCTCCCTACTAACAAGATGGCTTGGTTGAAGGGGCCAACCTTCTTCTCGTTGTTGTTCGAGATAGCAACTTGTTGCATCGACATATCGACACTATCTCTTGCTTAGCTATCCCTTGTTTCATAACCACATTTAAGGAGATGCTATCTACTTCCTTCACCACTAGTTGAGGAAACACTACAATTCCTAGCCATCTACATATCACCAAGAAATTAGATGTAGCGAGAGCATCGTCTCCGTCCAAAACTGTCTTTTTTTTTAAAAAAAAGGGAAAACTGAGGATAAAGCGCCACAAGTACTTTGTTGTGGAGCAACTGTGAGTACATCCCGTTCACATAAAGACCCCCTCAAAATCAGGCGAATTAACAATACATGCTGGAATTTGCGAAGAGGACATCTAAGAAAATGAAGAGGCAATAAGGTCCTTTTTCTGCTTCTTCTACAGAATAACGGAACCAACAATCCAACTTGTATCTATAGCGATGGAGAGGATGATACCATGAACGCTTGCAAGAGATAGAACCAAGGAGCATACCCAATCGATGCCATCACTTTGGCCAAACAAAGTAAACCACAGTTGCCCCTTGAAGATCTGATGTCGATGTCCAAGAGAAGAACATCGTTCTTGTGTACCTACTCATTGAAGAAGAGTAGAACGGTTGGCGTGACCTCTTCAAATGTGGATCTGAAGAACTCCGATCTGCAAACACTAAAGAAAAAGGCGTCAAAGACTCACCCAGCGGTTGCTGGTCAGAAGGCTTATGATCCGTCCATGATCACTGGGATGAAGAAGGTACACACCCGGCATCGCATCTCCTTTGATCTGTACACGTGCACGCGCGTGGGGGAGTGGGGGGATTGGAGGGGGGTTGAATACATACGGAATTCCCCTAAGATCACCTTGTTGGTGGCCGATTAAGTATATACTATTTGATGGCCACACTTATGGCAATGTTTGAGAGAAAAAATCATGATAGGTAGGGTAAAAGTGTAAAAATTAACCACTATTGTGAAAATATTGAACCAAACACTTGCATAATTAAGAAACTGTGATGTGACTAAATGTGTTTACATGGTAAAGTGTGACATCGAACCAAACAAACCCTAGATGTCGTAATCTGGTTTTGTTTCTAACTCCGCCCCTGGTTTTGACTAGCAAGTAGCAAGCACACATTTGACTTCCCATCTGCCCTAAACCGTGTGCCAGTGTGAGTGCATGCATGTATCCGGCCGTAATCGATCGATGTAGAAACTAAAGAAACATTGACATTTTACCGAATTCGTCAGCTCGTCCCCACGCAACGACGATCCATATATATATGCGAGCTAGCTAGCGTCCATGTGTACATGCTCTCAGGCCGTATAGCTTTAAATCCTCTCACGAGCTGAGCTTGGGACTTGGGTGTCGAAATCGACGTGCGTGATGCGATGCGACGGCTCGAACGCGCCACATCCCGTGCGTCCATTCGTCCATGTTAATTTCAGACATAAATTAACTGATAAGAGGCCAGATGGATGATCGATGATGATGTAGAAAAAGGTGAAATTAAAAAGGATCAACGAAAATGGCTGAATATATCCCATTGTAGAGGTATAAATTAAATATATACTATATGATTGATTTTCATTGTCGAAAAAGATATGTGAAATTAATCACGTTCATGAATGCATCGATCGAAGGTAGAAGAGGTAGAATTGCAGGGCAACCCGTGCTTTTGCCAGATCATGCACACGGCCGATCCCATCAATGCCCCCAAGAAATCAGGAGAGAGATAGAGTAAATTAAATTAACACTAACAAACAAACAAACACATGCATGCATGCAATAACTGTTTTCATGAGCGCCACAGCAAAAAAGAGAGAACCCAGCGTACCCATCGTTTCGCTTAACGACATATTTACAAATGAAAAATAATTTACGAATAAAACTTTTATATGCTTGTTCTTAGAGATTTAAAAGCAAAGACTGAAAAATAAACTTCGATAAAAAAACCTCAAAATCAACTTTAAATTTAAGGTTGAAAATTTAAATTTTGGTTTATAAACATAAGCATAAGTGAAAAGATGAGGCTGCTAGACTTCACTCCATCCATCCATCAATCGATCTAAAGTCCTCAACGAATACGCAAGACGTCAACCTTATGTTCGTGTTGGGAAAGGAAAAGCGAGGAGAGAAAAAAGATCACCGAGGAGATGATCATTCATGTGATCCCATACATCACACCAAGGAGAGAAAAGACAGAGAGAGGAGAAAAAGAGAGATTGCATTGGCTGTGTTCACCTGGCTGACTTTTTGCATTGGAAAGCAATTAAAAGCACAGGGGCAAGCTTATGATGAGGTCATGTAGTATATAAGCACTCACATGCAGAGCTAGGGCACCTGTAAGGGGACAGGTAGGAAAGCACCAGCTTGCTTAATTAGCTAGGGTTGCATTGCTGCACTGCACTGGTGTCATCTTAGAAATATAAAAGGAGACCACCAGTAGAGGCCTTGGGTCTTAGTTTCAGTTTCAGAGAGAGGAGTCAGTGGCTGTATGCTGCCATGGCTCTCAAGGTGGCTAGATAGACAGACATGTTGCCCATCAACTTAAGAAGCAACTAGCTGCTGCTGCTGCTAAGGGAGAGCTATAGGCTTAGCTGTGGTAGGCTATAGATATTACTATTAGGTAGCTACTAGCCTATAGGCAGACATGGGGAGACCTCCATGCTGCGACAATGGCGTCGGCGTCAAGAAAGGGCCATGGACGCCAGAGGAGGACATCATCCTCGTCTCCTACATCCAGCAGCATGGCCCCGGGAACTGGCGCTCCGTGCCCGAGAACACCGGTTAGCCCCCCCCCCCTCCCCCTGGCTCTCGCGTTTTCGATCCATTCGTCGTCGAATGATCGATATTGCATGTGTTTGATTTTTGCATGGTTGATATCAGAAGCTGTTTTAGTTATGCTTCTGTTGTTGTTTAGGAGTTGATGATAAGTTTGTTTCTGTTGTGTTTTTTGTATGTGTTTAGGATTGATGAGGTGCAGCAAGAGCTGCAGGCTGCGGTGGACGAACTACTTGAGACCGGGGATCAAGCGTGGCAACTTCACCCCTCATGAGGAGGGGATCATCATCCACCTCCAGGCATTGCTTGGCAACAAGTAATCACGTACATAACTCAATTTAAATAAATTGTTGTATCATATACATGAGCATCAAAATCTAATGGGATGTTTTTAGTTTATTTTCTATCCTTGAAGAGATATATATACATCCGTACCACTCCGAGATAAAAAAAACTGTAAATCAATTGAACTGATTAGAATTGACATTGTTAGAATTTTCCTGGTTCTTGGGATGAATAAAATGTTTACTTTTATATGTGAATCTAGATGTAGATTATGTCCAGATTCATTTAAAAAATAGACTTATTTTATAACGGAGGGAGCATATAACCTCATAGTTTTACACGTAAGGTACATACCTCCTAACTAATACTCATACCTCTTAAAGATTGAAGAAAACGCCAACAAATATATAGGTGAACTCCCAATCCTACTCTCATTTGTTATGATATTGGTTTTGGTACATCACTTCACAGATCTTATATACCTCTGAACTCTAGTCCAAGAATGAAAGAAAACCTCTATGCACTCCTATATATTGTTTATAGTTTAAGCTTAGTTTTATGATAACTCAAGCAAACCCTGACTTTCTGATGATCATCTGAACTTTTTCAAAATCATATTGTCTTTACCTTAATCATGCTTTACCTTTTGCATATATTACATGACAGGTTATAACATACGCCCTCCGTCCCAAAAAACTCAACTTCTAGAGATTGAATTTTGTCTAAAAAAAACAACTTCTATCATCCTACCTACTCTCAGTACGTAAAACGAGAAGTTTTATCCCTTCAATACCCTTTACCTATCTATCTCTCTTACTACTTTTTTTCAATGATTATGGGTATTTTAGTCAATCTTCATCTCCACTATTTTTGTCTTGGGATGTTAGGATTGACATTTTTATGGGACGGAGAGAGTAGTGCCTAAATATTTATCTATTGTGCATGCAGGTGGGCAGCAATAGCCTCCTACCTCCCCCAAAGAACAGACAACGACATCAAGAACTACTGGAACACACACCTCAAGAAGAAGGTGAAGAGGCTGCAACAACAACAACAATCACACCCTGATCATCATCACCACCATTCCTTCCAAACCACCCCTTCTTCCTCCAATGCAGCAGCAGTAGCAACAACCAGCCCAAACTACTACAACCCTAACAACAGCAACAGCAACAGCAGCAATTACCTCCATAACAACAACCACAATCTTGAATCCATGCAATCCATGGCCACTGCACCTAGCAATGAGGCCACCACCATCCCCAAGCTCTTCCAGTTCCAGACATGGATGAAGCCATCACCAGCAACAACATCATCAGCAGCAACAGCTGCTGCAGGTAGCTGCTACAAGCAGGCCATGGCCATGCAGGAGCTCCAAGAGGAGCAAGAGGGCTCTGCTGCTGCTGCTGCAATGGCTTCTTCCATTGATGGCGTCTCCAAGGACCAGGATTATCACATGTGTGCTGTGATCAGTGGTGATGACAAGTCGTCGTCGTCGGAGATGATGACGGCTGCGGCAATGGCCGGCCATGGCGAGGCGGCCACGACGACCTTCTCGCTGCTCGAGAACTGGCTGCTCGACGACATGCCGGGGCAGGCGGCCATGAGCGCCGCCATGGATGGGTTCTTGGAGATCTCTGCTGGATACTGCTGTGCAGACCCTATCATGTTCTGAACTTTCTGAACTTCTGATGATCATCTCAGCCTTAATTTCCCATATGAGTCTCTCTTTGCTATAGGTTTCTTAATTTCACTGAGTTAATTTGCACTTGTACTAGCTGTTTGATGCTCTCTCTCTCTCGATGATCTTGTGTTTCCGGTAATAAACCGTTGGTTTAATTTCCTCAAGAAAAAGCAATCCACCTGGAAATAATCTGGTTGGTTTGGAGAAATATTGTCAGTTCTCAAGGATGTAATAAAAGGATTAAAGCTGCCATAATTCGTTGCCTGATATGCAATGTTCTTGTTGTTTTTGGAGATGGAATTAATCGTTTTCTTGGTTTGAGATGAATGGCCTTGATTTCTTTCCTGGATGCTGTTTGATTTTCAAGAAACTTCTGAATCCATATATCTGATATATGCATGCTAGCACATGCAGAAATCCATTTCGATTTTTTTCTCCAGCCATTGAAAGGTATTGAAAATTTGAAAGGTATATATGTGTGCTTCATAGTGTTAATCAATACAGGAGTACACCTTAATACATTTGGAAAACAAAGATGAGTTGCCAGCAATGAGCTGCAAATATATACTCCCTCCATACCCACAAAACAAGTCGTTTAGGATAAGATTGTGCTTACCAATGAGTGATTAATTTGAGACTATTCTTCCATGTTTGCCCCTATTAAATGAGGGTGCGGGTGCATTCATTTGAGAAGCAAACAGAGCTCAAATGGCTAGTGCAGCGAGGTTTGAAGGCTGAGTGCTTGGGTTAGATACTTGGTGGGCTGATTTTTTTTTTTGCTGATTTTGCATGGCGCTTGCGTGCGTATTTTTCGTTTTTTTCGTCTGGGCACTCCGTTTTTTTTCTGATTTTGCATGGCGCTCTCGCGGGTGTTTTTTGGGCGCGTATTTTTCGTTTGGGCGCATAATTTTCGTTCTTTTCACGGGTAGATGCCGTTTCAGTTTCACCATGCCTATTTAAACGGATTCTTCTCTTTCCATTACTATGCTTAACCTGCTCACTTTTAGTCCGCGAGAGTTTCCATCTACTTCATGCAATGGCTGTTCCAGCTGTTTTTGGCTTTGATTTGAATGTCCGCCTAGAAGAAGATAAGGACGGCAATGTTCCCTTCCATCTCAACGAGCCAATATTGGAGGATCACAACGTTAATGGTAATGTGTTTGTTCTTTCTTTTTTTTATAGTCACAGAAACAACATCAACTAAGTTTCTATTCTAAGTTTTTTCTTTTCTTTTTCTGATAGGATTTGATTTGAACATGCCACTAGATGAATTTGGTGTAGTTGATTTAGATTTTTTACAAAACCACGCTGGTAATCTTGATCTCAGTTTGTTCTTTCCTTTTTCATTTTTTTATTAAAGCAGTGGCTATTTTTTTTGAATGTGCTTGTTTTTTTTCTTTGACTAGAACATGCTGTACATAACCAAGCTCCTATTGAAGGACAGCATCGAAGGAAGAACATGACAGAAGAAGTCACAAAACAAGTGTACAAAGCATTGTTGAAGGACAGCAAGAATGGGAAACTAGGCAAGAAAGATACAAGAAGGGTTGCTGATCAATTTGGAGTGCACATTCGATCAGTTCAGCGCTTATGAAAGCGAGGTAAAATCCAACTTGCTCATAACATTCCGGTTGTGGTTGCTAGTCACAAGAAGGGTAGATCTGGTCATAAGGCAATCCCTCTTGATTTGGAACAATTGCGCAACATTCCTCTCAAGAAAAGAATGACCATAGAAGATGTGTCTAGTAAACTTGGTATTTCCAAATCTAGGATACAAAGGTATTTGAAAAAAGGTTTGCTTAGACGGCACTCTAGTAGCATCAAACCATACCTCACAGATGCTAACAAGAAGACTAGGTTGAAGTGGTGTGTTGACATGATTGATCAAAGTTTGGTTGGTGATCCAAGATTTAAGGATTTTTTTGACTATGTGTTCATTGATGAAAAATGGTTCTACCTCTCTCAAAAATCTAAGAAGTATTACTTGTTACCCGAGGAAGATGAACCACATCGCACTTGTAAGAACAAGAATTACATCCCTAGGCTCATGTTCTTATGTGTTTGTGCTCGGCCAAGGTTTAGGAATGGAGAATGTGTTTTTATGGTAAAATTGGTTGTTTTCCACTTGTCACTTATGAACATGCTGTGAGAAGTAGTCAGAATCGTCTTCGTGGAGAACTAGTAATCAAGCCAATAACTTCAATAACAAGAGATGTGATTAGAGATTTCATGGTAAACAAAGTGTTGCCTGCCATTCGAGCCAAATGGCCAAGAGAAGATGTGAACAAACCAATTTTTATACAACAAGATAATACACCTTCTCATTTGAAATTGGATGATCCTGTTTTTTGTGAGGCTGCTAGGAAAGAAGGGTTTGACATTCGCCTAGTTTGTCAACCATCCAATTCTCCAGATTTTAACATTCTAGACTTGGGGTTTTTTCAAGCTATTCAAGCAATTCAATACAAAAAGGAGGCAAAGACAATAAAATATCTAGTTCCAGCCGTGGAACAGGTAAATGGATCCATTGTTCACTTGTTTCATTGTTTTGTTCAACAATTAGAGTACTCGGTGAAAGATTTATTCCACACATGTTTTGCAGGCATTCTTAGAGTACTCTCCATGGAAAGCAAACAGAATGTTTTTAACACTACAAACTGTTTTGAAGGAAGCCATGAAAGTAAAAGGTGGCAACAAGATCAAAATTCCTCACATGCAAAAGGAAAAACTAGAGAGAGAAGATCGGCTGCCATTGCAAATCTCATCTGAAGCATCCTTGCTTGCTGAATGCATTGCTAGTCTCCTTGCAGCAAATTAGAAGTAGAATATTAGATGATGCAAGCATGTTAGTCTTTGCAGATGCTAGCCGAAGCAAGAATATTAGCAGCAAATTAGTTTTTGCTTGCATGTTAGGTCGATTGAATGAGACATGTAACTTATTGTTCTTGCTTCATCTTTGCATCTTCCAACTCCTTCATACTGTAGATCTCGTCCAACTTTTTGATAACGTGCTCAGGAAGAAGTATGGTTTCACCATCCATTTGAAGTTTCTCCACATTAGGAATGTATAACTCACAATCAAACTTTTCCATGTTATGCAAAAAACCTTGCTATGAGGTCGTAGTCTTCATGTAAAAGGCCACAACGGGCACACCTGCGAGCACGGCGGCAAGCTTGGAAGCATGCTTCTCCGAAGACGCCGCCAGCATGGAATGTGCCGCAGCGAGGACACTGCACCACCTCGACGGAGTCCGGCGCCACCTCGACGGAGTCCGACGCCACCTCGACGGAGTCCAACGCCATCTCCGATTCTAGCCCCTTGACGGAGTCCAGCGCGTTGACGATGTCCAGGGCATCGACAGAGTCCAGCACCTCGACGGACTTCAGCGACTCGACGTACTCCATGGCACGACCAAGCTCTGAACCCTAACTACAGCCGGGCGGCGAGGAAGAGAGATGCGCGTGTGCGAGCGGCAAGCGACGAGCGTGTGCTGCATGCGGGAGACGAAGAGGAAAGATCGAGCGCCATTAATCACGTCCATTCAGCTTAAGGCGGCATTAATCACGTCGCCTCGTTTCTTGCCTCGCCGCTCGTTGCTCGGCTCTCGTGTTAGGGGCATACGCGTCCAAACTAAACCCCGCTGAGGAACGACGACTTATTTTGTGAAAATGGATAAGAGCCCAGAACGACTTGTTTTGTGGGTATGGAGGGAGTATTGGTTACAGATACATTATACTGAGTAACCACTACTAAGAACTGTACACATTCTGCATCAGTAATACATGAAAAACAGTTGGAAGGTGAACAGTGGGAAACAAGTTCCAGCCAATTCTGGTTGTACATAAATTCACTTGAAAACCACAACATTTTCATTATCATAGTTCATGCCACATAACGTGTTGGAAACAACAATATATATATACTAGTAGTACAGCAGTTCAGCAACTCTAGTACTAGAGTACAAGGAAGCTCTCTATCAGAAGCTAGCTGCCAAATGGAAAGGGAAGAGGATAACAATCAACATCATCTAGACAACAATTTTCCATACAACTAATTGGCCCTAATGAGATATTTTCATATCATGGGGCAGCTGGGAGAAAAAACCTTGTGTTGCCCACCCTCCACAGAGATGAAACTCACACGGTGTTTACGGTATCAGCAAGTGAGCGCAATATACATCCTAAGCCTGCTTTCTCGGTGAGTTTTTCATGAATTTTGAGGCACTGGTCACATGTTGGCCGATCCCCTGTTGACAAACCTCTGTACAGGTACCTGCAGCATATCAAAGTTCAGAGCAGAACAATTAATGTATATCATTAAAGGGAGATCATCTTCAGACTGAATATCAGAAACACATTGCTTTTGCAGTAGAGTTTGAAGGCAAGGGGCAAATAAGGAAATCCTCACAATCTATATCGTTTCGCAGTTCACACAGGGACAACATAACTCCCATTAGAAATATCTATGAGCAACAATTAGGCATAAATAAAGTAAAAATAAATAAGAAAAATGCCACATGGCTAATATGAAGAATGCTGCTGCAATTTTCAATCGAACATCAGAAAAAATGGAGATGAGTGAAGTGGCAATGCAGATGGGAGTACAGATATCTATTCAGTATTGATTTCACTGTTCAAGCATGAAAACATAAAGTGCACACAAGTAGTGCTTTACTAGATCTAAAACCAAATTATTTAACTACTCATCAAGTCTTTGTGCAAATGGCCATAATTGTTCAATTGTAAAGTGCATTGTTGATGCATATACTGCAGAACATAATTTGTAGAACTGTTGCAGTTCTCTCAAAGTTTCCTTGCATCCTTAACTATCGTATATAAGCGACACACATCAAGAAAGCAGACCAGATTGAAACACTTTAGCAACTCAACAACAAGAGTAATTCAATTTATAGGAAAGCAATTTCTGCAGTCTTGAGATGGGGGGGGGGCGCCAGGGGGGGCCTGTAAACTCCACAGTTCCCGAACAAATTGGCAAATATAAACAGTAACGGCGGAGCAAAATAGCACACCGCAGTTTTCCACAGTAGATAAATTGTGTTAACATGAAATTAATATGCAGATCAAATATCAAGAAAAAAACCTGCTACAATGCCAACGAAGATTAGAACAGAATTGTAAGCTACAATGCCACATGTTGAATTTAAAGTAACAAAATTGATCATCACCAACACCCATATTCCAAACAACTAACCCTACCCTGACATTTTCGCACACAGCAATTTACTCCGGGCAGATCAATACAGTTGGATCTTGAATGAAAAAATGGAAATGTCATAGAGAGAAAAAAAAAAGGCAGGATGCGCGGCTCACTTCATCAGGATGTCGTAGTACTCGGGATCCAGCGAGTTGAACATGCCGTCGACGTCCCTGATCGCCATCATCGCGCGGTGCACCACGATCCAGTTCGCCGACTGCGCCGCAAAGCAAAATCCATCCATCTCAACCAAATTCAGCGCCTCTTCAGAGAATCCATGGCGGAAACCAAATCCCATACCTTGCATCGCTCGTCGCGGGTCTTGAGGGGCGTCCCCTCGAGCGCCGTCTTGAGGGCCTCCACCGGCTTCGACCTGCCGCCGCCGCCGCCGCCGCGCCGCGCCGCGACGCGCACAGATGGGTCACCCTCCAACCCAGCAAATCAAAAAGATCAAGAAAGGAGAAGACGAATCGGGGGCGCTTACTGCTTGAGGAGGGTCTCGATCTTGCGGGACTTCTGCTCGATGCGGGAGATGATGGCCTCGAGGTTCTCGTCGGCGTCGAGGTAGGCCGCCGCCGACGAAGCCATCTCGCCGGCAGGCGACGAGGAGGGCGATTTTGCGTCTGGGTGTGTGTTGGCCCTGGTAGGTGGAGCCGCCTTCTCTCTCTCAAGCTGCGTGTGCTCTGTTCGTGGGGATAGCTCTTAAATGGGCCTTGAGCCCGGCCCAACTACGTGGATGGGCCTTGATGTCAGGCAGGGGTGGCATTTTTCCCGGCGGCGAGGGCCACCCGTAAAAATGCCAGGCCACCTTCCCAGCGCTTTTGCAGGCGACCCCGCACATTAAAAAATCGTCCTCCCAAAAAGCGGCAAGAGCAAAGAGCGGTAAGAGGGTTACCTGCAAAATTTCGGCGCCCTCGGTGGCCAGCCGTTATGGGAGGGCCAACGGCCGTCTGTCACATCAGTAAAATTGCCCTTCCAGAGGACGATGGGCGACTACTTTTGTAAATTTTTCAAATAATTTTTTTAAAAAATATTGTAATAAATAAAATAAAAAATAAAAAAATTTCATCGGTACCCAATTCTATCACCACAAAACAGATTTTCAATAAACAACTAATTATACCTGTTAGAAGGAAAATGATACACGCTAAAAAAATTGTTACAAACTTTTTACAAAAACTTGCGTGGCATATCATGGTTGCATCTTAATTATTCATGATGAAATTGAATGGCCGAGTCTTCGTTCAGTCATGTTAAAAAAATGGGTACTAATGGCAAGGGTTAATTTGCTTAATGCCATTGCAATATAAGTAAATCTAACGAAACCAAATATGACCATGAAGTAAAGTGCAATGCGATACTCCCTTATATCACTATCTATATAGACAACAAACTCGTATTCCCTCCATTTTCATTTTTTTTAAAAGATGATGCCATTGCCTTTTGATATGATGTTAGACCATCCATTCTACTAAAAATATATAAATATTATTTATTTTATTATGAGTCAAATTATTTTTGGAATCATTTTTGGAAAATGATTTTTCTCCCCCGGGACAGAAAGTCCCACCCGGAGGTTCTGTCCGGATCTTCCAGGCCCCTAGGTGTAGCGAGAATTTTCCTAAGTGCTGCTCGGAAGTTTCTGGCACTTTGGCTCGAAACCTCCGGACAGCTTTCCAGTTCAAACTTGTGAGTAACGGCTAGTGACGTCATCTAGCCGTTATATATATGGATTTCATCCCCAGCTCACCCTTTTGCCATTCCACTTTAGTTCTTTCACTTCCTAGGGTTTTCTAGCCTCTCCCGAGGTGCCTTTGCTTCCTCCACTCAAATATAAAGCCTATCTTGTGAGATTGAGAGATTAGATGAGAGTGTAGAAGTGATTTGGAGAAGGTGTGAAGATTAGGTTTGGTTGAGCACTTTGGATACCTTGAGGGCTGTCACTTGAGCTTAATACTCTTGGAGATCTTCTCCTAGACGATTAGATGTCGCCCACGAGCTTCCAAAGATCTTGTGGATGTCCTGGAAAAGTTTGTGAAGGTATTCCTCACCTCCGCAAGGAAACGAGGTAAGTGAGTAAGGATTCTTGTGCTAAGTTCTCAGAGGTTGTCCTAGATAGAGCAACTTGCACTTGTGGTCTTTTCTAAAAGGAATTTTGAGTTGGATTTTGGTGGTCACTCAATTCTAGAAAATGACTTAGAGGTGTTGAGTTGAAGGCTATGAACCTCTTCTGGATCTTTGCACAGGTGAGGCAAGGGATTAATCGAGACCTGGCTCTGTGGAGCACCTCAACGGAGAGTAGGATCCTTGTGATCCGAACTTTAGGAAAAAATCGTCCTTGTCTCTCTTGTGCTGTGATTGTGCCTGCTTTTATTCTCTATTCAACATCATGTGCATCTATGTGCTTGAGGTTACTTTGCTAGGATTTAAATGCCCTGTCGTTTTTGTTCTTTCCTGTCTTCCTGGCTAAAGAACTCCGGAAGTTCCGGGCCACATATACCTACCCGGAAGTTCCGGTGTTTATCACTAGGAAGTTCCGGGCCCTATTAAATTTGACCACTGCGATTGTTTGAGTAATTTTTTTCAGGAAAGCCTATTCACCCCTCCCCCCCTCCTAGGCTACGTCACTACGCGTTCACCTTCATCTTCTCTTGATAATCTCTCTACCTTTCTAGCGAATTCAGAGGGCGGGCTAATCTAATTGAACTTTTTTCCCCAAACATTCACAGATGTACTATACTAGAGCATCTCATTAGACACGTGGCAGATTTTGGAATGGGGCTTCGCCTGATTTATAGGGCGCCATGTGACCCAATAGGATGCAAGATCTTGCACCGAGAATTAGGTATTTAAGATGTAAAAATTACTCCAGTTTAAAAAAAATGGAGGATGTAAGATGCCCGGTATTAAGTAGTAAATCGGACTTTTGCGATGGTTGAGGAGTGTAAACCGAACTCAACCCTATTTTTAAATGGTAAACAGCCAATCTACTGAACAACTCTTGGTTGTTGTCAAATTGTACTCGAACGACCGCTCCTTTTCAAATTAAAGTTGAAGTCAACTCTAGCGTTTTCCAATTTTTAGTGCATCAAATATCTCCTCATCTATTACCAATGGGAGTCCCTCTTTGCTCTAGTCGATATTTTATTTGTTGGGCGGTTTGCTTCAGATTTATTTATTAATATACTAGCAAAAATACCTGTGCGTTGCAACGGGTGAAAAATTTTCAATGACAATATGCATTTCACATGCATAACCATGTCAATGATAATGTTTGTATCGATCGTTACAGTTAAGACATATCATAAAAAAATTTAGAACATCTTCAATGTAATAGCCCAACCTCGACGATAGCAACATTACCTATGCCTCCTTTACTCAAAAGAATTTAATTATTGATGTGGTTGTACACATATAATTTGAAATACTATTTCAGTCTCATTCTTGCAACAAATAATAGGATTAATCAAATCCTACACTATCTCGCATGGTCAAGTCTAGACAAAACAGAGCCACCGTGAACTATTCTCTTAATATATAATTATTTTTATATGATACCTATCAAGAATATTAGCTATACTTAACAAAGTAGTCTAATAATTGCATGATCTATTCTCCTGCACCTCCAATACAAGAGAATAGATCATGGAACACAAGGCGTGTAGGAGATGGAACATATCGATGATCCTATCCGACCCAAGCCTCGATCAATTTGATCTCGTTCCGATAATAAAAGCCCAAACAAGAATTCACATCAGAACATTCCATGAACGTTTTGGAAAAACCAAACCTACGCAGTAGATGATGGACAATACAAACGATATGATTATTTTTCATGGAATCGGATGTTTTTTTTTCCTGAAATCAGATAGTTTTTTTTTCGCATTGCACAGTGCCAAACCGGACTTTTTATAAGCACGTTTTTTTTTCGTGTTGGGTCAAACAGTTTTCTTGGAGCAATTTTCTTATAAACGATGTTTTTTTCTTACGTGGAGTCAGACAGTTTTTTCGATCCGCTTTTTCTCGTGTGGATTAGGACTTTTTTTATCTGTTTTTTATATACAACGATTTTTATCTCACGTTGAGTCGGACGTTTTTTTAAATCGGTATTTTTATAACCGACGATTTTTCTCCTCGTGTTGAGTTCGGTGATTTTTCCGAAGTTGAGGAATAAATTGAAGAAGCGTTGTGTTCTATCTCCTTTCGCTCGGCCTTCCTCTTCTAGCTTACGGAATACAGTTGTGTCCGTATGATGACAAAGCCGATCATCCCTATCAAATATACTCGATCTCTGGAAAATTTATTGAGGGCATTTGATCCACTTGATCTACTCCTTCTATTTTTCTCAAAATCGGAGCGAATCCGCAATACTTGGGATAAAAAGGGGGGAAAATCGTCGGGCGCGCCATCATTGACAACTGTTCGGAGATTAAATCCGGTGAATTAAAGCTAAATTGATTGGAGAAATCATGTGGGAAGGGATAGAGAATCGATTTTTGCAATTAGTTAGAGGATAAAATGTATGGGTAGACATTTTATTATGTATATAGATTTTGAGGTGGACGTTCTTTTTCTTTTTACGGACTGAGTCAGATGTTTTTTCTTCTTTTTTTTTTACGGGACCACTTTTTTTTTACGAACCAGAAGTGAGTCAGACGTTTTTTTTTGCCCGGGGGGGGGAGTCGGACCTTTTTTTTGGTTTTTGGTTGACAGAAGGATTTTTCTCGCCTTTTTTCACTTTTATTTTACAAACCAGAAGTGAGTCGGACGTTTTTTTTTTGGGGGGGGGGAGTCGACGTTTTTTATTTATAATATTTATTTTATTTATTTATTAGGTATATATAGATTAAAACCAAAACATAAAATTAAAACCGACTCAAACACGGATGACAGACCGTGAAAACATCTTTAATTTTTATAATAGTAGAGATAGAGAAGAGATAGAGATTAGTTCGTAAAAATATTTGCTCAAAATTGACTTGCTGACTTCTTAGGGATTGCATGTGTTGATCTGAACGTTCTCATATAAAACTGACAGGTCAGTCACATATGGTTGGGTTAGGTCTACCAGCTATATATCTAATTAACAAGCTTCCATCGATTGATTCCCTCAGAAGAAAAAAGAAAAAGAGAAAAAAAAAGGACAAGGCCACTAGCTGTATCAATGATCGGATCATGGCCACTTGTCCAAATAGCCTTATAATACATTATAATCAGATCGATTGATGATATCTCTCGGTTATGACTTTTAGTAGTTGTTTAAGATATAATCCCTCCGTCCTAAAATATAAGTATTTTTGGACTTTGACACGATCTCCGAGATGTTACTTTGAACAATAATATGATATTTTAAATAAAAAAAGTTACATATTATGATAGTTTGTTTAATGATAAATATAGTAACATCAATTTTACATGATTGATCTTTTTTTAAAAAATTTAATATTAATAATTAAAGATAAGAATATTTGACTTGTCACTATTATAAAAATGGTTATATTTTCGGATATATCCTACGGCTATATAAGACGCAATATGGTAAGAGGGGAGATGCAAACCAAAGCAAATACCATCACAGAGAGAGGTCGAGAGATGGCGACAAATAGGATGGCAGTGGCGATCATGGTGCAGTTGCTGGCAACGGCGGCGGCGGCGGCGGCGAAGTCGTCGGAGCCGGCCCTTACCGGCAGCAGTATCTCCGCCGCCGACGACGACCTGGCGTCGAAGGTGGGGATAAGGAGGCTCCTTCAGGACGGCGGCGACTGCATCCCTAACTACAATGTTTGCTGCAGCAACTGCGGCTGGCCGTTCGAACGGACCAATTGCTGCGACCCGGACAACTACGTGTGCCAGTACTGGCCGGAAATGGATCCAGCACATGGCCAGGACTGGTGCATTCCTCGCAATTACTGGAGTACTTCCTCCCCATAATGTTTGTTCAGTTTTATATCTTCACAATTTGATTTTTTTTTGAAGAGAGAGTAAGCCTTAAGGCCATGGAAAACGGTCCGTTCTGTTAACGTGATCGCCCGAATCAAAACTCCATTTTTAGCTAATAATTGGCCGTATCCCATTTAATCGTCTGAATAATCATTCACATGTTATACTTGATGGGTAGTATTTGGGACCTTTTTTAGTATTATTTTTTTCTACATATTTTGTTTTACTTATTCAATATAATATAACAAAACATGTCGCTGTTTGGTGAATAAATGTCGCTGTTTTCTACATATTCTTTGTGTTCGATCCTACGTGTTCGATCCTACAGTTGAAAGCAAGGCAAATTACTATTGGCTATTAAAATGTTTTTTTTCCCCGAAAGGTTTTGATTTATGCTATGAAATAGTACCAGTTTCACTGGATGGAAGTAATTTACCAGTCATTTCTTTCTTTCATAAAAACGGCAATAGTTAGTGATTTGGAGCAGACAATTTGGGACTATTATAATTTTTTTAATGCAAAAACAATGATGGATTTAGGGGTGTTTAGTGTAACCGAGTAATTTGTATTCTAGGAACATAATACATGCATGCACACCTTATATTATGAAACATCTGCCTTATATTTTGAAATAAATGGAGCATTGATTAAGGCATCTGTCATAATTTTTTAGGAACTCCACAAAGTAGGTCATTAGTAGTGGGGAGTATAGAACAAAGCAAGGTTCCCATAAAATTTTCCATGAATTCCAGACAAGTCCTAACATGAAACTGAAGGCCTAGCTTGCAAATGCCCAGGAAATTGAACCAAATTACTCACCCCATGGGATAGACCAGGATTTTGGACGTGCCAAACTAGGCCACAGTTGACACCGTCAGAAGGCATATTTGCAGCATCAGATAACATCATTGCTACTTTAGTACTCCCTCCGTTTCATATAAATCGTTTGACTTTTTACTTGGTCAAAGTTCTTTAGGTTTGGCCAAGTTTATAAAAAAAAACTAGCAACATTAACAACACCAAATTAGTTTCATTAAATTTAACATTGAATATATTTTAATAATATGTTTGTTTTGGGTTAAAAATGTTACTATATTTTTCTACAAACTTGGTCAAACTTAAAAAAATAGAATTTAAAAAAGTCAAACGAATTATAATATGAAACGGAGGGAGTAGCAAAGAAGTGCATTGTTTGGAAACAAAAGGGAACTTCTTTGGAAGGTTTACTAAAAATCTGGGAACAATGATAAAGGTACCTGTTTTCTAGTCAATTCAGCTGGCACAGAAATCCCTAGCCAGGGCAATGGTACAGCACCAAGCAAGATCTTTCCATGCATCTGTCCAAGATCATTCATCTACCAAGTTGATGCTGGACGGGACGTCTCTCTTGATGTGTAGTAGCTTCATCAAAACTCCCACCCAAGCCGATGATGCACTTGTTAAATTGCCAGTTACAACTCATCAACATTTGTTCGGAATATGTAGTCCTCACTCTCAAGCTCTTCATGGAACATATTAATGCTTGGAGCAGCAGGCTGTGTATGTTGGTTACCGTTGGAATCCAACAACCTCTTGCCCTGGAGATTAATCAAAAGATAATTAGAAATAGAACTTTCCCATGAGGAGGAGGGCAACTTTCATCTAGAGTTAGGTTCTACAGCGCAAAACTTTTAATGGAGTCATAACATCTACAGTGCAAAACTCTTAACCGAATTGATGAGGACCAAGAAATCAAAGGAATGCTTTTCAATTAAACCTTTTTAAGAATATAGAAGAAATAATGGAAGCCATCACCAAAGGTGCTCCACTCAACAGACCATGTAAACCCAGGTGCTTCAAAAAATCGACGACGGAAATGTGGCTGCCAGATAAGATTAGATAAACAGAATATTAGAAAGAGAAGATTAGATGAACGAATAAGCCATAAAGTGAGGTAAGTTACATTAGTTCCATAATCCTCTGGAAACATTCTTTGGCAACTATCATTTTTTAATATAGTCATATATATGTAATTATACATAATGGGTATTTACATATTTGCAGAATTTCTGTAGCATGCACAAATATCATACTGAAAAACCAGAAATCAAATACAGATAACAGACATAATGAATCGGAATCTCAATAACCTGTCCAAAGGTAATTGATACAAATATGCCTTCAGGCTTCAAAACCTTGTGGATACCTTCAAGCATTTTCATCACATTATCCACTGTTGTAGGATTTGGGTTCCAAGGATCACCACTGTCCACAAATAATACGTCCTGACAAAAAGATACAGCATTGGTTCACGACATTTGAATTATATGATGGACAAGGGTCTCAGAATGAAGTGAGCACAGAAAGCATCTCATTGAGTTGTTCTAAAGGACGAAATATTTATAAGCATGAGTGTTGGACCGGTCCCCTTTCCCTGTATGTGCATTTCCAAAATATCCAAAAGTAAACATTTTTTATGTTAACTTATATATAAAGTAAGGTTTATAGTTAATTTGTTTTCTTTGAATTGCAATCAACACAGCACACACCATGGTCTATCAGTGATTTTTCGGGTCATATATTGGATGCCTGACTCCTATAAATCTTAGTGTTTAAGTTCAATGCTAAGTTTTTTTTTCCTTTCGCATTCATGAACGCTGAATCTTCATTTCTTATGGCAACATCAAACTCAGCAGTACCAATACCATGGTGCCTTTCTCAATCACGAGATCGAAGCTCTCACGATCGAACGGCAGATCAAGCATGTCCGCCACCACAACCTCCACACCTGCAAGAAGCAGAAGGCCAACATTTCACCCCCAAAATCCCAAATGGCAGTGCCATTGGTAAGGACCACAAACAATTTCTTCAGATTTTAGTGATTCATAACGACTATAAACCAGTGAAAAATTTACCCTCGGTGCCCTGCTCCGCGAGGCGGTCACGCATCCGCTGGACGGCGACGGGCGAGAGGTCAACGCAGGTGATGCCGCCGGCGACGCCCTCCCGCAGCAGCTCCTCCCCGAGCCGCGAGTTGCCACACCCAACCTCAAGAACCTAGCGCAACACGAATTCGAGATGATTTCATTTCACCCCCAGACTTCAAATTTCAAGAACCCACAAAAAACAAATTCCCCCCACCCAAAGATGATATCAGGAGGGATTCGTGGGGGGAAGAGAGGAGGCGAGACGAACCGAGATGGAAGGGGAGAGGAGCGGGGCGAGGAGGTGGCGGAAGTGGGAGAAATCCTTGAACCACTCATAGTGCTCCTCCTTCCCGAACCGCTCGTCCCTGCGCGCGCGCACACAGGCCAGCCATCACATCAGCGAGACCCATCCGCTGCCGCGCCGGCGAGCCGCGAGCAGAGAAGAGAAGGAAAAAGAAAAAAGGGGAACCAAACCAGTAGGAGGGGTCGAGGTAGGCGGAGGCGGTGCGCGGCGCGACGTCGTCGGCCATCGCCGCCGGAGTGAGCAATGAAGCAGGTGGGTGGCGCCGCCGCCGCAGCCGGGTTGCTTTGTGGAGCGCTGACGCGGGTGCAGACGGCGGCGGCGGCGGCGGCGGCGTTGAACCCTACAACGGTGAGCGGTGGTCGTCGGATCGGAGATTGGACGGCCGAGATGAGAATTGCAATATTAGACAAACAGTGACAAAAAAAGATGAAAATTCTCATCGAAATTTGTACATCTTTGGTGATATTTTTTTCTTTTTTATGATAATGTTTAAGGAAACATTTAGGCTGCGTTCTTTGCTTCACGTTCCCAATCCTCACTCCCGAACACAATCTTAGAGTCTATTTGATAGAGTTTCAACTCATAAAATTTAACTCAGGAGTTGGATCTGAAGTATATGAAGTATAGTTGTGGAACAGCCGAACTACCGAAACCCAGCTCTATCTTTTTATTTCATTTTATGAGAGTACTTTATCTAGCTTCACTTTCATTTTAGCTCTAGCTGGCGCTGGAGCCATGCTAAATAGGCATTTAAAGTTGAATCAGCAACACATATACATTAATAAGATGAACAAATTTGTGCTAAAAAAATTCAGTATGCTCACAGTCAGAGTGTTAGGTGAAACAGAAACGCAACAAATGCCAAAAAGGCAAAAAACTAAAAATAGAAAAATAAAAAGAGCTTCCATTGCCGGGATTTGAACCCGGGTCGCCTGGGTGAAAGCCAGGTATCCTGACCGGACTAGACGACAATGGATTTCTGTTCATTTGTTGTAGTGATTTTATTCTGCTCAACAACAGTTCGATTTAATCTCAACCAGTGAGTCCACAAAACCCGTAACCCCCTCCCTATAAGCAAGCTAAAATTGCTAGTAAAAATTAGGCACCAACTAACTGACATGAACATCTACTTAACTAGATGAGAACCTGTGTGTTACTGTAAAAATTTAATATGATTATAATAAAAGTAACGTGTAATATAGCTAGACGACGTAAATGTATAGAATTTGTATTTTCAATCGATCATTGGAAAAGGCTATAAACCATTTAAATTGATGTGGTAATAATTATTAATGGATGATGATGTGATAACTTTACATGTTAAATTTTAGAATGTAATGGGTTGTAACTTTATAAATAGTATAGATGTAGAATTTAGAGGGAATTAAATTTTTAAGCGGCGTTTGATGACGGAGCCATCAGATTTTTGAAATGGGCAGGAGTAGAACTTCATCAAAAAAAAAAGTTTATTTTTCAACCGTCCTACACATATCAATAAAAAAAATAAAAAGACTATATTACCCTTAATTTATCAAATCGCAATGCAACTGTCCTCCATTTTCTCTACTTACTTTCACAAATACTAATACAGTGATTGCTTAAAGATGAACTTATTCAAGAACAAATAAATGAGAAAAGATGATCTTATTTTGAAATGAAAGGAGTATGCTGTTACGGAATTTAGGGACGGACGGTGGCATAGGAATAATGAAGTGCATTCCAAGACTCACGACATAGGGGATCCCATTGAATCAACCGTCGAGGTTATCCCAACAATAATATATAATCTCTCTGTTCCATAAAAAATCAAATTTGGGGATAACATGATTTGACTTTTTTTGATAAATGGAGTAATTGCTTGCCATTACATATTATAATATATTCAACACAAGTGCACTCTAATTTATTTTTTACGAAGAACATTTTGATAGTTGTTGTACAAACTAATCCATAAAATCAACTCATATGATACGATACTACATAAAAAAACATTTTAGTCATGTTGATCCTATGTTAGGTTGTGTGATTTTAGAATTTTAAATATGGGGGAGCACACAGTGACACAGACGACATAGGCGGCCATCGGTTCGCTTATGCTCATGCTTATCAGCTAAAATTTGAATTTTCATCCTTAAATTTGGAGTTGATTTTGAGGTTTTTTTCATAGAAGTTTATTTTTCAGCTTTGCTTTTAGATCGCTAAGAACGTGTATATAAAAGTTTTATTCACAAATTGAAAATTGTTTTTCGTTTGTACCAATAAGCGAAACGATGGGGGCCATAATACCCATAGTAGAATGTAAATACGCTTCATTCTTTTTCAAATAAGTATAGGAGCACTTAAATACATTTGCTGTTTTTTATACCGGCTGAAAAATTGAAATGACGGTGAAATCATCTTTGATAATATGAACTGAACTAATTGCATCCTATGTATCTTCTCATCTCAAAAAAAATTAAAATCCTACTAATAAGTATCTTTAATCGTCTCTGATGCTTAGCCACCGCTATGAACTATGGCTGTTCGCCGCCGTCGCCGCCGGAGCTCCGGTAGTGCTCCAGCGAGCTGTGCCAGCCGTCGCCGGAGACGCCGTGCAACATCAGCAGATGCTGCGCCACCTCCCCCATTCCCGGCCGCGCCGCCGCGTCGCGGCGGACGCACCTCTCGATCAGCTTCACCATCATCGCCACGGCCTCGCGCGGGCAGCTGCTCCCGGTCGCCGCCATCGCCGGGTCCAAGAACTCCTCCATTCTCCTCGTCACCGCCGCGTCGTCTTCGCTGCCGCCGTCGAGGTCTCCGGCCAGCGCGTTCATGCCGGCGAACGGGTCGCCGGCGCCGTCGGCCTCCAGCTCGTCGACGCCCTTGCCGGTGACGAGCTCCAGGAGCACGACGCCGAGGGAGTACACGTCGGCCTTGGGCGACACGACGCCGTGCTCCAGGTACTCCGGCGCCGTGTACCCGCGCGTCCCGGCGATGTTGCTCGTCATCGTGAACGCCTCGCCGCCGCCGCCGCGGATGACCCTGGCGCCGCCGAAGTTGCGGAGCTTGCCGCGGAGGTCGGCGCCGCCGGCGAGGAGGACGCTGTCGCTGCTGACGTCCATGTGCACGTACGGCGGCCGCGTGTACCCGTGCAGGTAGCGGAGCCCCTCGGCGACGTCGAGGGCCACCTGCACGCGCTGCGACCAGCTCAGCGGCGGCGCGCCGCCGCCGGCGAGGAGGCGGTCGCGGAGCGTGCCGTGCTCGGCGTACTCCGAGACGAGGTACCACCGGCCGCGGTGGTGGCAGAGGCCGATGAGCCTGACAAGGTTGAGGTGGTTGATCTTCCTCATGATCTCCACCTCCGCCGACACGTCCCGGTCCACGACCTCCACGGCGGCCGCGTCGCCGTTGAACACGGCGCGGTACACCGACCCGCCGACGCGGCGGTCCGGGCTGAAGCCGTCGGTCGCCGCCGCGAGCTCCGCGTAGGTGAACACCTTCAGGGAGGACTTGATGTCGGAGAGGCCCGAGAACGCCTCGCTGATCGACACGGACACCTCGCCGCCGGTGAACGCCGGCGACGCCTTGTCGTTGCCTTTACCGCCCTTGCCTCCGGCGGCGGCGACAGCGGCGGTGGCTCGCCGTCGCTGCCTCCTCGCCCTCACAGCAAGGGCAGCCACAACGGCGGTGACCACGGCGAGAACAGCCACGGCGGCCGCACCGATGCCGACGTAGACTCCGGTGTGGTTCTTGCGGTTCGTGGTCGGAGCAGGCGCCGCCGGCGGCGGAGGAGGCGGCGGCGGCGGCGACCGGAGCTGCGACACGTCGGGCTTGGACTTGACGGGGATGAGCAGCGTTGTGAAAGGGTATATGGTGTCAGTAATGGCCATCTCGTTGGCCGCCGAGATGTTCCCGGCGTCGACGCCGAACCTCGCAGCGATGGCGCCCACCTCGTCGAACTCGTCGACCAGGTACGTCACCAGGTACCTCACGCCGGCGGCGGCCTGGGCGGCGCTCGGGCACGCGCACCGGAGCGGCACGGTGACGCGCTGCCCCGCCAGGAGCGACCTCGCCGGCGCGTCGCCGAGGGCCTGCTCCTGCACCGCCTGGCACGTGGACAGGCCCTGGAACGTGTCGTTCGCGATCACCAGCAGCGTGTCGCCGGCGACCGCCACGTACGTCGCGTTCCGCTGGTAGTAGGCGGCGCCCGTGCAGGAGCAGGTCGCCGGGACGAGCACCTTGGCGCCCGGCGCGAGCGCCGCGGTGGGCAACGCCGCGGAGTTCGCGGCGGCGAGGCTGGACGCGTCGGCGCCGAGGAGCGACGCGATGGCGGCGAGGTCGGGGTAGCGCGGCGTGGCGTGGAAGGTGAGGTAGGTCTGGCACGACGACGACGACGACGACGGCGCGCCGCCGCCGCCGCCGCCGCTGCTGCAGAAGTAGCCCAGGAGGCCGGTGTCGTTGTGCTTGTTGGGGCAGTCGGCCACCTGCGAGCCGTACGGCTGCTGCGACCGGGCTCCCGGCGCGCCGGAGAGGAGGAAGACGACGACGAAGGCGAACGCGGCCATGGCGTGTGAACGCGATTGCGCCATCGCTGCTGTTCTTGGCTTCAGCTTGGAAGCAATTGCATGGTAGCTGCAGGCTAGCTGAAATGGAATTGATTGAGAAAATGAGAAGCTCAAATAATTTCTTTTCCAAGGAAAATTAATGAAGCTTGGAATAAGAACACTAAGGGGATGATGGGGTCTTTGACTTGGTAACAGCAAGGAAGATAGTGTCAATGTTGGAAGATTTGTTAACCAATAATGTTTAGTGCTTAATCATCACTACTAGGGGATTAGATATCTTGGTGTAGAGCTGGACTCCACTGTGCAGGATTATTATAAGAAGTCAATAATTCAGTGTTGTACTTTTCAACTGATCTTCCCCTGCACATTTCCCAACCGTGGCCATCTTATTCAACCATTCTCAGAGACAACTTATCTCTGGAAATGGTTGAATGTGTGGATGATGAGAGGATGGCTAATTAAGTAGCCGACTAGTCAAGTTATTGTCTTGAAGTCTTGAAGAGATGCTTGATTTGCGTAAGTGTGAACCAATAGGAGCTTTCATATTGAAGTACTCTAGTTATTAACAGAAAAATCATGCCAAACTCTGCTGGAATAAAGGTATATAAGGTTTAGACATATCAGTGTCAAGATATTTGAACGTGGACAACATCAAATTTAAAAAGGATATGTCGACTAGGATGTGCTTTCCAGTTTGGCAGGAAACGCCTTCCTCTAAAGCAGTCAGAGACTCACAGTCAAACTCAAACAGCGACACATCAACACGCGTTTGAAATTTTGCAAAGGAAAAAAAAATGACTGCCTCATGCATATAAGAAATTTGGGGTCTATGACTAATGTGAACAAATTTGCTAATTAGCGTGTAAGTGTTGGCAGTGTCTGCGATGCCAACGGCCACGGCGCTAATTTCTCTCTCTTTTTTTTTAGAGAAATCGGCTAGTTTCTCTCTTTTTTCCTTTTTTTTCATGGAAACCGCTCCCTTTCTTTTCTCCACGCACGTGCATGATTTTTTTTTTGCGATATTTTATAAATTGAATCTTTCACCTTAAATATCAGTTGAGACTTGAGAGTTTTGAATTTGAGTTGAAAGTTTTTTAAATTTAAGTTGAATGTTTTGAATTTTGAGATGAAAATTTTCAAATTTAAATTGAATATTTTGAATTTTGAGTGAAAATTTTTAAATTTAAGTTAAAAGTTTTCAAATCTTGACTTGATTTTTTTTAAATTTGTGTTGAAAGTTTCAAATCTTCAGTTGAAAGTTTTCGAATTCGAGTTAAAAGTTTCAAATCATGATTTGAAATTTTTCAAATCCGATTTGAAAGTTTTCAAGTCTGAACTGAAAGTTTTCAAATCCGAGTTGAAAATTTTTAAATCTTGACCTGAAAGTTTTCAAATCTAAGCGAAAATTTCAAAAAAAAAATTCTTGAGTTGAAAGTTTCAAATCTTGACTTAAAAGCTTTCAAACCTACGTCGAAAGTTTGAAATCTTGAGTTAAAAAGTTTTAAATCTTAAATTTTTAAAAGTTTATTATAGTTAACTCTCTGTACCTATCACAATTTTCCGCGCCTTAAAATAAGAAATAAAATGTGTGGGAGGTTATTTTTTCCTAGAAAAAAAGCAAAAAGAAAACATAAAAAAGAAAAAAAAAGAGAAAGGCGACTCCGCACCATCAATCCCGCGCGCAATTTAATCTCGCGATGCGCACATGCGGGATATGAGCCCCCAATGTGAAAGGTCTGAATGGATGAACGAAGTATAGATTATCTTATATATTATAATAAGATTTCATGGTAAGAATGAATGAATTATTTATTATAAAATTCAGAAGTTATTTTAAAAGAAAATCTAGGACTTCTTTTTTAAATCGCAAGGTCTAGGAGCTTCCTAAGTTATCTATCAGAAAGCTAAACTTTTGCAAATCTCAGATCATTGGATTAAAATCCAAAGGCCGATATGCAGCCACCAAACATATATATATAGAAATAAATCTTTTTTTTTCATAAGTGTGAATCAAACGGAGCTATCATGATGTTAAAAAAAATTACGCCAAACTCTTGGTAGAAAAAGGCAGTTAAGGTTACATGTAAATGTTAGACAATCAAGGTATTTTAACGTGAAAGGCATCAAAGCTACATGTCAAATCAGCTCTAACCGTGCGGCTTTGCAACCCCGAAGACGTATTATCGAATTTTACGTATTCCTTCATGGAATACGTATCCAAGTAATTAGCGCTTATACTGCGATTTGGCTAAACCTCCCCCAACTACCGGCCCCACCAGACAGTGACTAGACAACGCAGAACGCACACGCCAAGCAAAACACACAAGCAAACCAATTCCCCCTTCGCCGCCGCCGCCGCCTCGCCGCCGGCAATGGCGTGGCTCGCGCGCTCTATCGCCAACTCCCTCCTCGCCCCCGAGGAGCCGGACGACGGCGAAGACCTCCCCCCGTCCGCCGCCTCCGCCTCCGCCTCGGCATCCGCGTCCCCGCCTCGCGGCGTCCGCGAGGACCTCTCGGAGCTCACCGACGCCCTCGCCAACCGCTTCCATGGCCTCGCCTCCTTCCTCGCGCCGCCGCCCCACGCCGGAGGCGGGAGAGGGATCCCGCGCGCGCCTGACCCGGCCGAGATCGCCGGCCGGTTCCGCGCCGGCCTCGCGCGGCTCCCCGGGCGTCAGGCCGTCGCGGATCTCGCCAAGATCGCCTCCTCGCTTCTTCCCCCCGAGGCGGCGGAGGCCGAGGCGGCCGGGTTCACCGAGGAGGCGGTCGCCTTCGCGCGGGACGCCGCCACGCGGCCCGAGCTCTGGCTCGACTTCCCCCTCCTCCCCGACGACGACGACGGTTCGTGCCATCGTGCTCCACTCGCTCGCTCCGCCTTGTTAATGGCGTTTGCATTGATCCATGGATGTGGGGAATCGCAGATTTCGACATGACCGACGCGCAGCAGGACCACGCGCTCGCCGTCGAGAGCGTGGCGCCGGAGCTGGCCGATCTGCGGATCGAGCTCTGCCCGAGCCACATGAGCGAGGGATGCTTCTGGAAGATCTACTTCGTGCTGCTCCATCCCAAGCTCAGCAAGGACGACGCCGACCTCCTCTCCACCCCACAGGTAGTCATTCCCCTCCTCCTCCTCCTCCTCCACCACATTGCCTCCACGAATCCGAATCGGGAAGGATTCCTCCTCTTCCAATCCGATTGGGAATCCATGTCCATGTAGCCGACTGAAATCCCCACTTCCCAACTATAAACCTCACGGCTTCGCTTGCCCGGGTTGGAGAAACATAGCAAGAGAAGGAGGAGAAGGAGATGAGAGTCATGGAGGATGAGGAATTTCTGCGGCTGTGTCCGCCGACACACCCACGGCGCAACGATGACGATGACGATGCCCTTCCGGCGACGTGCCTACTTGACTTGCTGACCTACATTGCCGACTGCCGCAACGCGACCACCGCCACTTGCAGGCTCAGCTGCGGCATGGAGGTGCAGGTCACCATCTGCGCCGCGCCACCGCCGCTCGTCTCCCATGTCTGTGTATATTGCCCTGGCTACGATCACACCGTCTTTACGTGTGTGCCCAAGGTCGTCGCCACGCAGGGCGACGTCCTTGTCCTCTGCATCGCGCTAGGTCCTCGCGGCACCATCTACAGGCCTAGCAGGAGCAACTACTACCTCTACCAGGTTCAGGCTGGCTGGCCTTCGCTCAAGTTGCTCCCGCACCCTGGCCCTTGCTTTGATCCTAATGATCCCTATGCCCCGTTATTCGATGACCACAGTGTTGGCATCATACGCTACCAACCCCACATCGACCATCCTGCCTTGTACGTCATCCCCGCCCTCACTAACGGATCAGTGCCTGGGCGTTACGACCTCCACCTATTACACTCGAATGCCGAGAGCTGGATCAGCAAACGGGGCTTGCCACGTCCACATTCAATGTCTCACGGCGACCACAGTTTTGCCAAGGTCATCACTGTTGGAGGAGAAGCTGGCACCATAGGCTGGGTTGACCTCTGGAAGGGCATCCTCTTCTGTGACGTGCTCAAGGACAACCCAGTGTTCCTCTATGTCTCGCTCCCACCCCCCCTCATGGCAACCAGGAAGCTGCGAGGCTGCCCAAGAAATACTCGTGACGTTAGTGTCATCAAAGGTCTTATCAGGTATGTTGAGCTGCAGATTCACATCAAGCCAGGCTCGTTTACCCGAGGCAACTACATTTCCAATGGCTGGACAGTTGCCACATGGAGCAGGATCAGCTCTAATCCTTTTGAGGATTGGCACCAGAACTGTAAACTTGATGCTTCTCAGGTCTCTTTTGAAAATAACCCAGTGCATTATGAAAAGCTGCCTGAGCTGCTAGACGACCAAGGCATACCTCAGCTAACCATGGTGCGGCTCCACACAGGTCATCCTGTTCTCAGCATGCACGACCATGACATTGTTTACCTCATGACTAAGGTCAACTACTTAGATGACAAAGCATGGGTTCTTGCCATTGACATGAGGAACAGCACATTACAAGGTGTTGCTGAATTCAATGCGGAAAGAGTGATCGCCTTAAGGTACGCCTTTACGCAAAGTGGGATCTCTGAATATCTGAACATGCTTCCAGGTATAAAGGGAAACCGAAAAAGATAAAGGATGTTGTTGCTGGAACCCTCTTGCAAGGAGGAGTGTAAAATCCGCATGGTACATAATATGGTGGATGGTATGAATGTTGATTAATGGATAAGGTAAAGGTCTGAAGGCTGGGATGAAGGCAAGTTTGCTCTCCTCAATGTTCGTATCAAGAAAGAGAGCTAAAGCTCGCAAGCAGCTCCCCTCGTATGCTGTATCCATCACTGCCTACCATGCTGGCTTGCTGCTTGGAGCCGCCTTCCTCACCTCTTGCCTCGTGTCCTTGTCTGCACCTTGGTCAGATTTTGTCAGCGCCAGAGCTTGGAGGAGCCGCCTTCCTTGCCACATGGAACTGCCTGCGTTGTATCCTTGTCTATGCTCGGAGTGGGAGAGTTCACTTGAACCTGCGCTGGAGCTCTGAGGAGGTGGATCTTGCCATTCGCTCCCGTTGGGGCTTACTGGTCACTGCGTGAGAATACATGAAGGTCCAGGCTCTAGTTTGGGGCAATTAATCTGGATAGATATGGTCCAGACTCCAGATGGATAAGGTAGACTATTAGGTGCGGGATTATGTTAGTGTTCTGAGTAGGCATTCTTGCTAATGTGGGAATTGTAGCTGTACGACATGGAAAATGTAGTCCCAAATGTATGGGAATTTTGCATCATTTTCAATAAGTTATGAATGAGTGAGATTCAGTGAGGTACTTTTTCCCTTCAGTTGAATCTGTATTACTGCTTTGAGAAGATGTTCTCTAGAAGCATAGTGTAATCTTGTCAAAATATCGAGTCTGGGATTTTTAGGCAGTTGTAAAATATGATTGCATCCTCACAAACCATGATTGTCTAATCGTAGAAATATCATATAATGCACAAATGATATGTTCCAACTTTGCAGGTCCGTGCCCAGGTGGAACTTCTCACCTATCTAGTCTGTGTTGCATTATGCTAATCAACTCTTATATTTCATATAAGTCTATCAAGAAATGCATCCTCCAACATTCTCTTCCTCTTTTTGATGGTGTGATCCTGAGTTCTGCTATAAGTTATGAATAAAGTTAGCGACTATTTCACTGTTACCGCTGTTGGATGAATTACTTTTGGCCTAATTACAAAGTTTTGTAATGGTTTCTCTGGAAATTCCTAGTTGCTATTTGATAATAAGTAACGGGCTTTTTCATTCTTTTTCTTTCCCTGTTGCTTGATGGTTTTGCTTTCTCACAAATCAAGACAATCAGTTGCTGCCATTCCATTTCATTGATTGATAGTACCATACTTACTCTTACTGCTGATTGACTTGAAACAGATTTTGGAAGCTAGAAAGAAGCTATCACGCAATTTGCAATCTGAGTCAAAGCCAGACAGCAACGAAGACATGGTAGCTGCTTCTTCCAGTAATATAGATGGTAATGTGCCTTCTCCTGTAGAGGTTGTGGGCATATTAAAGAATGAAGATGATTCTGCAAGGGCCACATCCTTCAGCAACGTCAACTATGGCGCGCCTCAACCAGTAATTCTGGAAATGCAATCAGATGATACACTCAATGACTCTGGAGGTCTTCGCGCAGATGACATCACCAGCAGTGTACCTGTACAACTTGTGCCAGTATTGAAAGATGCTACTGAGTTCTCACAAGCCAGGATGGAAGAAAGGATCCAAGATTTCACTGCACAAGATACAGTAGCAAATGAAGAGCCTGGACAGTTGTCTGGGATAAAACTAGAGGATAATTCTGAAGAACGACAGAAACAGCCATCGACCACTAACCTCAGTGAGCAATCAAGAGTTGCCATTCAGAAGAACAGTAACGATGACGATGATGATGACGAGGATGAATGGTTGGAAGAGGAGGAGACTGGTGGTGCAGGGAACACGATGATTCCAATAGCAGATGATGAAGACGTGTCTTTTAGTGATCTGGAGGAAGATGATGCCACAGCGTGACAACGTTAGCTGGTTTGGATACTCTAGCTTCCTGCATCTGATGTTCTGGTTCCATGACACGGCAAAATACAATGGGCTTGGCTGAGTTTTCGACTACATGCTGCTGTTGCAAAATTTACCTCCTCTCTTCTCTGTACGAAGTGAATGCAAATATCAGCTTTGCAACTTGCTATGCAAGACCCCATTTTCTTCTCTTTTTTTGGGGAAGTTACTGAAGTGAGCCAGCTAGTGGTGTGATTAGCAGTTGTACAGTGTGTAGAGACTAGATCATCTGAGGAATTTGATCAATATTATCTGATTCCTCCAACGTGTATCAAAATGATGAAATTCAATTCGTCCTCTTTCAGTGAAAGAAATATACAGTCCATGTTTATATTATTATACATATCATCAAAATCTCAAGGTTGACTTAAATACATAGGGGCGAACTGAAAATTTGGCAGAGAATGCGCCTGCAGATTCTTCAGCAGAAACAGATGCTCATCTCAACCTGGTGATCAGGTTGAACTGTTGAGCTAATACTGGGAAGAAAACGAATGACGTGAGCTTCGTGCTTTCAGCTGGGCTATGACTCATTGCCCATTTGTTTTTTTAGACCGAAGGCTTTGCAGTCCAGTTTTTCTTAAGCAGAATGAGACTCATTATATTCCCTCCGTCCTAAAATAACTCAACCTAGGATAGGATAGGATATGACCCATCCTAAAACAACGAATATGGACAAACCTGTCGAATGAGTCACATCCCATTCTAGATTGATTTATTTTGGGACGAGCATGTGGCAACATGTCAACTTGTACTCGATTATATTTTAGTACTGTATTTAAGTTCTGAATCAAATCCGAGATTCGAGTTCTACTGACAACCCACTGGCCTGCAGAGTTGCAGGTTACCACATGCCCAAGCGGCTGTGGTTACAAAATAGTCCCTCCGTTTTGGAGTAAAATATAAAAAAATTTCTGGGTTGTTTAAATTAAAGTTAAGAAAAAAATAACCATTCTAGTGACCCTCAACAAAGGGATGGGTGGGGGAAAGATGGGAAGAATTTTGAGAAAAAGAGGTGATTAATGTGATAAATAATACTGTAAATAATGCTAAAAATCACTATACTTTGGTATAAGATCTAAATGATAGAAATTCGATGGAAGTATTAATCTAATGGGAACCCACCCCATCTACCATATATATACTACTCAACACTGATAATACCATCTGGGTTTTAGTAGATGATGCTTCAACTTTTGGTCAAACGTATTTCTAAAATTAATTGTGTCATACTAAAAATCGGATGGAAGGAGTAGTTTAAGCGATTTATTATATATATGCACATGATACGGGGAAATCAAGTTTTTGGTTCGGGATGAGTTGGTCAGTATAAAGAGCTCAAATATTTGTACGATATATATAGCTTAAACAACCAGCTAGTATGAAATTGAAATTTGTATAATTTTTGTCAGGAAATACTCTCTCCCGCTCATTCTTAGGCTCCCATCGGTTGCCCATTTTGTCTAAAATGGCTTATTAAAAAGTTAAAATTAATTTATAAGTAAAACTTTTGTAGATTTGTTCGTAGCGACTTAAAAGCCAACATTAACAAAAATTACGTTAAAAGCATTTCAAAATCAACTTCAAAATTTCAAAAATTTAAAATTTGGCTTATTCTTTGGCTGATTAGGCCAAACGATGGGGCTGTTATTTTGTCGAACAACCACGAGGGCATGTAGCTTAGTGGTTGTAGTGACCTGAGTAGTACTTTAAGGTCCTGAGTTTAAATCTCTATAGGAGCGAATTTAAGATTAAGTTATTTGAGGGCATAATACATTAAAATACCATCTGGGTTATTTGAGGGCATAATACATTAAAATACATTATAATACACTGATAACGCCGTTGACTTAAGTTAGTTAGTTAAAAATGATATAACTAATATTCCTCTGTATTTTAATGTATTATGCCCTTGACTTTTTGACCAATGTTTGACCATTCCTCTTAGTTTTTTTAATTATCATTTATTTTATTGTGACTTGATTTATCATTGAATATTTTTATATTTGCACAAAAACTTTGAATAGGACGAATGATTAAATGCTGATGAAAAGGTCAACGACGTCTTACATTAAAATACGGATATAGTATATCATATAAAAAATAGAGGAAGTATATAAATGCCTCACTGATCTAGTCGTCGAGACAATCAGAGGAGGATAAGCCCTCCAGAATGGTCGGATGGTGCCAGCGGCAGAGCCAGCATGGGGGCTGAGGGGGGGGGGGGCTCGAGCCCCCGCTACCCCGCTAGACTCCGGAAATGTGAGGGAGGAGAGGGGGGGGGGGGGGGGAAGAGGGAGAGGAAGAAAAAAAAGGGGGGGAGAGAGGGGGCTGGAGGAGGAAGAGGAAGGCTGAGCCCCCCCCCTTTCCTCCAAACCTAGCTCCGCCATTGGATGGTGCATGCATTCCTCGGTATGGTCAACTCTCTTCCTGAGGGGAATATATACTACAGTCGTGTCATTTCTTGGAGCGAACTCAAGTCTGACCGGGGAAGGCATTTCTTGGAATTGGAAGTTGGATCATGCAGGAGATGAAGGCCTCAAGTCCAGGGAAATGAGTTCTTGTCTGTGCCAGATAATTAATCAGCAAACATGCATGCGCTGGATGCCTGGATCGACCTCAGATAGTCAGAAGCTTGGGAAAAAGATTCTAAACTCCTGAGAGCATGTTCCCTCAAATTCTATATGCCAATAGTTATTGCAAAATTTTAACAAGAGATAGGTTCATATTTGAATATATACATATCACTAAACATGTAAATCCATATATGACTTATATAAATTATAAAAAAAGATAAATTAAACTCTGACAAGTATATTCATAATCATATTTGTTTTTTTATAGCTTGTATAAATCTTATTTGAACTGACATATTTGTGGACTGATATAGTACCGTACATATTAATATATCTTTTTATTTTTTATAGTTGTTCGGATGATATATTAGAGATGAGGAAACATTTCCCTTCTAACGTGTTGTGCAGACAGTGAATCAATGGGTGAATCATCCCATTTTCCACGTTGGTGATTGCAATGTTCAGATCGATTTCCTGCGAGCTGAGATGAATCCAGCTCCCCTATCAGCTCATGTTGTATTTTCTGCACTTGTGTGCCTTCCTGCCTGCCTGCCTGCCTGCCTGTGTTAACAATCGATCGGCTGTTTGAAATATGCAAAGCCCATGAAATATGTGAGCGTAAATTAGGCCCAGCAGCCCGCCAAACAGCGGGAACAGGCCACAGCTACTCCTCCCGATCCTAGACAACAGCGGCCCAGCCCATCGCGTTTCCATGGGCCATGGCCACAGATGAGTCGGAAAAGATTTTGCTATATATTTCTTGATAATTTTTTTTAAAAAATATTGAGTATAATATGGTATAATTGTAGTGTAATTATATTGTAACTTACATGTAATTATTTTATGTAATTACAGTTTAACTTGTATCTAACTTTCACATAATTCTAAACCTCATGCAGTCATGCTTGTCTCCAAAATTTCTATTAAATTCTCTCAAAATTTATTAGATTCCGTCAAAATTTAGTGGAAACCTTGAAGATATAAGATGTATAAGCAAGTTTTGCCTGCTTTTGAGTTTTGAAGATTTTCTAGCTCCGCCACAATCGATGAGCAATTAATCAAGAGCTATGAGAGCAGGTACAATAGCAGACTATAAGTCAGCTATAAACATATTTTAAAGAGATAAAAGAAGAGAGAGAAGAGCAACGGGCTACAGATTTGTAGCCAGCTGCAGCACGGGCTCCAAGACGTAATGTGTGTATAATAGGTGGGACTAGGTATTTGTAGTATAGTAGGCAACTATTATATGAATTGGCTATTACATTGGCTATATATGATTTGGAGCTAGTAGGGCTATACTATTAAACTTGCTCTTTCAGAAGACAAATAAAGACCTGAAAAAAAAAGAGAAGACAAATAATGACGACGATAATGATGACCTGGATGGATGGTTGGAACTTGAAAATGGAGACCGGTGGCACATGAAGCACGACGATTACGAATTCCGATAGCTGATGATGAAGATGTGTCTTCTAGTGATCTGGAGCAAGATCGATGATGCCACGGCATGACATCATTATCTGGTTTGACACTTTAGCTAGCTGTTTCTTACTGCATCTGATATTTTGATCTGATTCCATGACACGGTAAAATACAATGAGCTTTGGCTGAGTTTTCGACTGTATACATATGGCCTGATGGGTTACTGTGCATCAGATATACCATCGGTATCTCAATTGACATCTCTCCTCTCACCTCTGCACGAGTGAGTGTAATTAAACATTAATTAGGTAACTTTATCATTCTTAAAAAAAGTATTGGGAGGTAGCACACTTTCTAATATAAAATTTGATACCTCCAGATATCAAAAAATTTAGTGTAAAATTTAGATACTTCAAGATACTTTTTCAAAAACCATAAAATTTCTGTTAAACATTAGTTTTGCAACTTCTGGCTAAAAGACCCCCCATTTTACTAAAGTGTGCTACCTAGTGCTGGGACTATCAGTTGTACAGTGTTTATTAGACTAGATCATCTGAGGAATTTGATCAATGTGCACCATCCTCCAATGATGGAATTCAATTTGTGTTCTTTTTCAGTGATACAAATCCAAGATTGACTTGTTTTATGTTGATCAATCTAAGATCAGAATATACATGCATACAAATCCAAGATTGACTTAATGACTTGATCAGTAATTCAGTATACATCAACAAACTGAAATTTGGCAGAGAATGCGCCAGATTCGTCGGCAGAAAGGGCCATTTCCTCCTAGTTTACAACTGATTAAAAGCCGTACGGCTGAAACCTTTGGCCGGTGAAGACGATTTGATTAGTAGTTTGGCAGATATGCTCCATATTAGATGCTCATCAATCTAGCGATCAAGTTGAATTAACATTTGGAAAGAAGACGAATTAGGTGAGCCTCGTGCTTTCAGCCTTGGGCTCTGACTCGTTGTCCATTTTCATGTGGCAAGCAAGTCAACTTGTACTCTTAAGAACATGACAAAGACTGTGGCACATGCGACAAGGGTCACAAGCTAGCAAATGACAACATCAAACAAGGTCCATGTTCGGTTGATGATGGATCTATTATTATTAGGTATGGGTTAACCTTATTTAAGTGTGGTTGTGTGAAGTTTTGAATTGATTTTGAACTAATTAATTAATCTGTTTCTACTGACAACCCATTGGCCTGGTTACAGTCTCATGTACACACCGTATGCTCAACATTTACCATCTCATCTTAGTTTATTTTTTATATTAGCCTTTGAGCCACTAAGAACATACTTATATAAAAATGTTACCTGTAAATTGTCTTTTTCGCTATTAAGCATTACGCTTATAATCCATACACTTCTCTGCCCACAGAGTATTGTATTTAATCATGAATATATGCTATGTGTTTCAAAAAGAGGACTTTGTATGATGAATCCTATCTATTTGATTGGTTCTTAATAATGCTAGCTACCAATTTATCATTATATTTAACTCTTACCAACTAAAGATATAAAAGCTTAAGCTTTTATGATGAATTGGCTATCGACAACATATATATATATTGCCCTATTGGTTGGAGAGAGATCGCTCACGCGAGCAAGTGAGCTGCGTACACGTGTCCCTCCTCGAAAGTTGAGCAATCATGGCTATAAAGACCAACATCCCATGTGTCCTAGATGACCTACAAAGCAGCAGATCCTTCCCCTTCCCCGTGTTCCTACTCAATCCAAACACAGTGACTTTGGACCAGACAAACAACAACTAAGTTTGCTAGATCGATCACCTACTTTTACATAATTGAACACCCAACTCAAAAAAGAAAGGACTAGCTATATAACATTGGACTAATTTTCTGTCAAATGTAATTACTATGTAACTATAAGGCATCCATAATATGGTGTAAAAGTAGTACATAAGCAATAGAATATTCCATTCAGCTACCTATTGCCATTGTGCAACTATTCCATATAGAAAAAATAACAAAAGGTATCTATATGCATATGGACTATCCATATGGAATAAATTATATTATCTATCTCTACTCTTCTTTCTTCTCCTAATGATACCTTGTATCCATATACATTGTGGAGATTGCCATAGATAAAAACTATTTATGTGGGTCCCATCTATATGGATCACTTTACTATATACATTGGTGATGACCTAAAGTATAAATAGACTGTAATTGATACGTAATGAATATGTAACTAGTATGTACGTTGTTTGTAACTTGATTGTAAGAAGTAAGAACATAAAGAGGGGTTAGTTCACTTGGCAGTGACACACTTTCATAACCTGCGCGCAGGTTGTCAGTTTGAATCCCTACAACCACGTCCACGCGATTTTTATTTCAGATCATGCCTATTATGAACCTCAAAGCATCATCTAAGGGCCAAGAAATCGAAAGATTGTAGCCATTCCGAAAAACAAATATTGAAAGAACACCTGTGATATGATATACTATATATAACTGAGGAGACATTATCTGGAAAAAAAAACCCTGAAGTTGACACGCATTTTGATCCATTGATCATACAGAGAGAAGTCAGCAGCAGCAATTAATGATTGGATAAGATAAGATGACATCAATCAGTCACAGTGAAAGTGAACTGATTGGAGCAAACAGAAATCAAAGCGAATTGTAAATTCATCCAATTTTCGCTGCTGCATGAGCTAGGCTACCATATAGTAGTAGATTGTACTAACTATCAGTTGTGATTTCCCTGGGTGTAGATGTAGTCTGTGTGCGCCACCAGCGTCCTCCTCATCAAGCACTCCTCCTCCTCTCCTTCTTCCCCTCCACACTGCTCTTCCACCGCCGCGAAGCTCGCCGCCATCGTCTCCTCCTCCACCTACACAAAGTACACATATGTACACAAAGAGTAATTGAAAACCTAAATCGCCATAGAATTCGATCAGCTCTCGATGGCAGCGCGATCTCCATGATTTCATGAACCGATGCGGTGGTCGATTAGTTCTAACAAATGACGACGGCGACATTGGCCTGCTGCCACATACCTTGCCATGCTGTTCTTGTTCTTGTTCTTGGATCGGTTGGCCTGATGCTGTTCTCGCAGCCTCATGAGTAGCTGAGATGCAGAGGAAGAAGAGGAGGAGAGACGCCAGCAGCAGTAGAGCGGTGCACCGTGGCGGCGCCATGGCTGGAGTAGCTATATCTAGCTAGCTTCTGCTGCTTCTGATTGTATGGTTTGGTTTGACAAAACGAGATGGAGAAGATGGTGGTGATTGTGTGATGGGGTTGGATGGATTTATTGGGGAGGTGTTGGTTTGGAGTTGAGGAGGTTGGAAGGAAGAAGAAGAGTAGTATAGTACTGTATTACTAGTAGAGAGTCAGAGAGAAGGTAGAGGAGCATAAATGTTGCTAGTTATAGAGTAGCTGATGACTTTGCTGTTGCTGTGGGCTAAGGATTCTTATCATGATGATTGTTTCTTCGTTTTCCAACTGCTGCGGTTTGGGCAGGTTGGTGTTTGGATCCAGGACTAAATTTTAGTCCCTGTCATATCGGATGTTTAACACTAATTAGAAGTATTAAACGTAGTCTAATAATAAAACTAATTTCATAATTGAGAGCTAATTCGTGAGACAAATTTTTTAAGCCTAATTAATCCATCATTAATACATGTTTACTGTAGCATTATATAGCCTAATCATGGATTAATTAGGCTCAATAGATCTCGCGAATTAGTCCGGGGTTATGAAATGGGTTTTGTCATTAGTATACATTTAATACTTTTAATTAGTGTCTAGACATCCGATGTGGCAGGGACTAAAATTTCAGTCCCAGGTCCAAACAGCGGGGAGATCGAACAATTCTTGAATGGGTGTTTGGTTGGCAGCATTAATAGAAGACGAAAAAGACATACTATTATAGAACCCTTGGTAGGAGACATGCTCATAGGTGCCAGTTCATCTAAAACTGATATATATATATATATATATATATATATATATATATATATATATGTGAAGCTTTTCATGTTTCCTAACCCCTCACAAGAGTTCAAAATTAAAAACCGACACCTATAACATCTTCTAGGTGTCGGTTTTTGATGCCTGTTTTAAAAGTTAACCGTCACATATAAAATTATCATCGATGCCTTTTTTTATTAAACTAACACATATCGAGCAGATACGTACGCCGAGCTGAGTGAGGTGGGAGAAAAAAAAACTGCCTGCTTCCTTATCCTCTCTCCACTTTTGCTTCCTTTCCCCTCATCCTTATCCTTTTCATTGTCCATCCCCGTTCCATCTCCTCTCTTCGTCCTCTTGTCTCCTCACCGGAGCCACCATCTCCGCCACAATCCCTACTCCTCTCCTCTCTGCCTCCATAGCCCATTCCCTTCTCCTCTCCGCCACTGCAGCATCGTGGCCTCTTCCGTCTCAATGGCGCCTTGGCCTTCTCCCCGTCGACGTACTCAAGGGAAGCATATCCTAATCCTTGACCACGACGGCGGAAGCTCTCATGGGCAGATTCGGTGACGGCGGTGGCTCTTGTGCATGGAATTGGCAATGATAACTGCACCCTCCCTCTCTCTAGCAAGGTGTGGCCATAAGTCCAATTCATGTAATCTTATGTTCTTAGTGTGTTGATGTAATGCTATAGTTGTTCTTGATGTTAGAGGAGAAGGTATATTAAATGTTTCCTGATGTGTTGTTGTATATGGATGTGACGTGTTCTTGACTTGTTCTTAGATGTGGATGTTGTGGATCACTCGAAGCATCGGCTTGATGAATCACACCGGTTTCATCAAGTCGGTTTTCTTCTTCTTTTTTTTTTGGCTTGTGGAACTTTATGAGTGTAGGGTCTTAACATGATATAGGTGTTGACGTCCCTCATCAGTGTAGCTATTAGGGTGCCGTTAGGAATCCAACTCCTATGTAGTATTCCCAACCAACACCCATTAGGTTTTCCCTAGTAGTGATGTAGCGTCAATTTATCACTGTAGGAGAACAATGCAATTAATAAGATGGCCTTATAGAGACTGCTTGGTTTGGTTGTGCTTTGGAGTATAACCCAAAATTTTTGGAACTTTGAAGTTTAATTTTTAAGTGAACTTGTAGCGTTGTAGGTGAATTGTATGTGCTCAAGCGCGGCACAAACAGAGGTGGGATGAAATGATGAAGAAATGATGAATGCACCACATTTCCTGATATATTTTGGGCCGATTTGCATCCAAATTTGCGTGGGCTGAATCGGGGATCACCAGCCTCAAGAGCCCATAAACATTCTTTTTCTACTTTTTTTGGTGGGCTAGTTAATTTGGTGGACCACGCGGCTCACAGTTTCTAGGAATAAGTTCACTTTAGGTCCCTCTATTTGTCGCCCAGTCTGATATTTTTGTCCCTAAACCCCAAAACCGGGGTACAACCCGTCCCCCAACTTACGAAAACCGGGCACATAAGGTCCTAAGGCGGTTTGGATAGCGGTTTTGGCTAATGTGGCGCCTACGTGGCTGGTTTGACTAGGTCTCTGTCCCACGTGGCATTGACGTGGCGCTTACATGGCAATTATATCTCAAAACAATAATAAAACCTGTGGGACCCACATAGGGGTGGATGTCAAGCTGGCTCGGCTCGGCTCAGTCTGTCTCGTTAGGATAACGAGCTAGCTCGGCTCGGCTCGTTATCGTAACGAGCTATAAACCAAGCTCGTCTGCAAGCTCGAGCTTTTAGCTCGTGAGTTTTGGGGACAAGAGAGAAAGCGAACAAGGGAAGGAGCTAAGGAGGGGCGCCAGGGAAGAGCGGTGTGGGTGGCGGCGTCCACGGCCGCGTCGGCGCTGGGGAGGAGCGTGTCGGGCGCTGGGGGAAGAGTTGTGCGGGCGTTGAGGGCTGGCGGCGGCTTGGGTGGGGATTGGGGATGGGGAGTAGAGCTAGGGTTTTGATGCACATATGGGCCTTCAAACACATATGGCCACACAAGTCCACAACAACATGGGCTAGCTACCTCAGCTCGTTAAGGCTCGCGAGCCAGCTCGAGCTGGCTCGTTATCTCTAACGAGCTAAAATGCCAGCTCGGCTCGTTAGGAAAATGAAACGAGCCGAGCCGAGCTTGGCGCGAGCCGAGCGAGCTAACGAGCCACGAGCTTTCCGTCCAGCCCTAGACCCACATGTCAGTTTCACACACAAAATAATAAAAATGGTGGGACCCACGTGGGCCCCACATGTCAGTCTACTCACCCCTCTTCTTCTTCCTCCTCTCTCCCCATCTCCCCTCTCTTCATCTCTCTCTTGCACTAGGGGGTTGGGGGTTACCAGATGTGGCCGACGATGACGACGGCGGCGAAGATGGAGAGGAGCGGCCGCCGGCCATCTCTCTTGTGCGCGCTCGCCTGCCAGGGAGCTCGAGGAGGGAGGAAGGATGCCGGGAGGGAGAGGGGAGGAGGGAGGAAGGATGTCGTGAGGGAGAAGGGACACAAGGTCGTCGCCGCCGGCTGCCCGTCGCCGTGCACACGTGCTCGTGCCTGGCGGACGTGCGGCGTCGGCGCGGTGTAGTGCACCTCAAGGCCGAGCGACGCGAGCTGCAGCGACAGATGCAGGAGCTGGTTGAGGTGGTCCTGCTCCGGGAATGGCACCGCCACAACGGCGACTGACTCGAGTTGGGCGGCGGCGCGACCATGTCCGGAGCGTCGATCCGAGTGATGCAGCTGGAGAACTGCTTCCCGTTCGGATCCTGCATCAACAAGATGGTCCAATGTCGTCGATTTCTTCTGCGACAACTTCGACTGGGCCGTCTGTTGGAAGTAACCATGCTGTATAAGTTCAGTTTTACGTTGAGTTTATCCGAGTCAGTAGATTATTAATTGGGCGTTGCATACATGCGTGCATATTTATCAGTACATGTGTGTGGCCTGAGTCGTGCTTGATTAGTTAAAGGCAAGTCTAGTAGAGATAGGGTCACGGCAAGTCTGCGCGCGGCCACTGCGTCTTCTGGGCCGTCGACGGCAACGTGCAGCAGCGGTCAGTGGGTCAAGGACCTCGGCCGCGACGACCTCGCCGCCGCGGTGCAAGGCCGCCTCCACGGCCTTCTGTCCCACCTCCACTCGAGCTGGTCGACGCACTGCGGCGCGGTGGTGGGTGGGATCGGGGTGCAGGGGCGCATGCACAGCCCGGTCGGTGGGCGGGTCATCCGCGCCACGCTGGACAAGCTCGCCGCGGCGGGCGGCGCGCCCGTCTGGATCACCGAGCTAGACGTAATCTAGCCCGATGTGGGGCTCCGCGTCGACGACCTGGCGGTGGTGCTCTGGTGACGCTCCTCCCTCCCCGCCTTGCCCCCGCTCGCCGACCTCCGCCTCCTCCTCTCCCGCCGGCCGCCGCGCGCTGCAGCCTCCCTATCGTGCCTGGAGAGAGGAGAGGGGATAGAGATGGGGACAGAGGAAGAAGAATAGGAGGGGTGAGAATGACATGTGGGGTCCACGTGGGCCCCGTCATTTTTAATTAATTTTTTTTATAACTGATATGTGGGGTCACAATTTTTTTATTTTCCAAGTCAAATTGCCACGTAAGCACCATGTCATTGCCACTTCAGATGAAGACCGAGTCAAATTAGCCACATAGGCACCACGTCGGCTAAAACCAGACACAATACTGCTGAGGGACCTTATTTAAACGGTTTTGTAAGTTGGGGGACCCGTCTTACCCGGTTTTATGATCAAGGGATGAAAATCGGACTAGGCGACAAATGGAGGGACCCCAAGTGAACTTATTCCCAATTTCTATATGCTAAGGACATGCCCACGGGCCTATGCAGCTATGCTACAATGCTCTTGCTAATTAGCTAATGTGCTTCCTGTTGCCATCCCTATTGGAAAAAAGTCCACTTTAGAGCGTCTCACCAACAGAATATCTATTTTGACTGTTAACAGTGAAATTTGGTAAGCCCCTGAGAGAATTATCACGTCGCCAATAGTCAGATTCGTGCTATATTCGGTTAAGGAAATTAATCTGTTAAAGGAAGCTTATCCAGAAGTGACCGAGTTCAAAGAGGATGCGGCATGGCGGTTTATCTATTAATTAGGCAATACTTGTTAGTTTCCTTCTATCTTTAGAAAAGTGTGTTTAGTGTACTATAATAAGGACTTTATGTTTTCCTTTTATCTTTAGGAAAGTTTCTTTCTTGTCCTACAAGAACTAGTATCTACCCATGGGTATAAATATGTACATCCGGGATCATTGTAAATTATTTCTCGATCAATACTTCTCTCAGCGCATCGCCACCCTATTTCCCGAGGTTTTTACTTATCATCCGGTGAAATTTGGCACCTGACGTGGGGCTGCATCGGTTTAGTTCGATCTCCGATAAAGGGGTAAGTCCTACATACGTTCCGCCGGCCCTGGTGAATCTGTTGGCTACGTTGGTGTTATTCAAG